GTCACAACTTGGAGGTATGGGAATCATTTTTACAGCCAAAATTTACCTCTTTTTTTAATTGCTATATATTTCAATATACAACGAGCCCCCACTTATTCGCGTTTCTGCATTCGCGGCTTCACACATTCGCGGATTTTTTCTTTAGAACATATGTACTTGTTATTCGCGAAAACCCCGAATATTCGCGTGTCTTTCTGAAGAACGTATGTACAAATTATTCTCTGAACACTCCTTCGATTCGCGTATTTTTCGATAGAACATATTTAAAATATTCTTGTATTATTTTCCTGCTATTTAAGTGACTTAAAACATATAACTGTCCATTTTTATGGTAACAATTGGCAGAATTATACATCTTTGTAAAAAAACAAACGCAAAAACATGCGTAGTGCTTGGGCTTTGTTATTAGTTAAGGACTGCGGCTGGGGTCTTAAAAGTGGCTCATGCTATGTCTGGAGGCATCATCACAGTTCTGTTTTTAGAAAATGTTTTAAACCATCTTTTGTCTTGTTACACATATTTTATACAGTATTTTCAATGGTTTTATCGATCTATGCGTAATTAAAAACGGTTATTGTACGTATGAAAGAAAATTTACGTATTTAAGTGTATGTATAATACTATTTTTCAAAAATGTTTTTAAAAGGGTCTGAAATGTTTCTAAAGTGTTTCGGATGAAAGTTTAAAGCATATGGGGTTTTAACAATCAAAATAGGTACTTATAAGCACTTTTAGACGGGGTGGGGTTACAAGTCTTCGCGGATTCTAATTATTAGCGGCCGGTTCTAATCTCTAACCGGGTGAGGACTCACTGTATTGAATATGTTAATATATGTACTTCATATTTCCCAATGATGTTTTTATCATTCAGGGATTTCTAATAGTTCAACTGGGTTTAGGATGGAAAGATAAATTCTTTGAGGCTGGCCGCTGAAAAGCTGAAGTAACTCGAAAACCACACGAAACGTACTAATCAAATATTTCATTCAAAAATCTTAATCTTGTTTGCTCCCAGCATTCTCTTGTGAGACCGGAAGTGCTTACAATCATAATCAACATTATTGATGTTATTACAGAACATTCCCCTTCCTAAAGTAATTTATTATTTTTATTAATATATTTCTAACTTCTCCAAATTACAAAATAGTTAATTTGCAGTTTAGCACTCGCACTCAGTTCGTACTCAAAATTTCCAGAATACTAACATTTATGTGCAATTGTCTATGCTTCATTAGAATCTGGCTTGATAAATTTGATAAAATCTCCCGTTTTGGAGTTATCGACAGTAATATTTCGGATTCATTCGGCGTCGCGACAGCCGTTACTGGCGTTGTTTGCAGACAGTCGCTACGGAATAGCTATGAATAGAATATTCACTTGTTATCTTGTTATCTAATTGAGACAAGTAAGATCATTAAACAAGGTCGTTAACTATGTTCTCTTCCGCTCTTAGCGTTCCGCAGCGAATGTATGCAAAGAACGCTAGTAATGGCTGCCGCCAACGACGCGAATGAATCTGAACTTTCACTGTCGATAACTCCAAAACGTTAGATTTTATCAAATTTATCAAGCCAGATCCGAATGGAACATGTACAATTACACATAAATGTAAATTCTGGACATTTTTAATGCGACCTGAGCGTGGGTGCTAAACTACAAATTAACCTACAAAATAAATAGTTGCAAATCGATGTTTGTTTTAGTTACTCCATTTGTAAACTCGAACAAATATCCTGGAGTATACATTATGAAATCGACAAAGTACGACAAATATTTAAGACATTTTTCTATGTCTACACGTTCTGTTTATAGATAAAAAACGTCATACATTATGAAATGAACAAAGTTACTAATTGAACGCTCCTCTGTGGCCCAATCGGTTAAGGCACGTCAGGCTATATGACGGTTCTGTATAGGATACAGGTTCGATTTTTGTCGGTGGACGCATATTTTCTCGGCCGGTAAATGTTGTTAATACTGTTTTTTATGAACAGATCATTTACTTAAATATTTGTATCTATAAAAAGTAAGTATAAACATTAAAAAAAATAATTAAATTAAATAATTGTGGGCCGTTTCCATTTCATAATGTATGACGTCATTTGTTTACATCTGGATACGCATTGAGCAGATATGAATGAAGTAAAGAAAATCATGTAGAATTGTGTTTAAAAGCAGTAATATCGACCTTGCTAACGGAACGTTCCTCTGTGGCCCAATCGGTTAAGGCACGTCAGGCTAAATGACGGTTCCGTATAGGATACAAGTTCGATTTCTGTCGGATACGCATATATAAATCCATATATATTTTTATTAATTCAGGCCGGTAAATGTTGTTAAAACTGTTTATTATAAACAGAGCATTTACTTAAATATTTGTATCTATAAAAATAACGCATAAACATAAAAAAATATTTTGGAGTATCTATTGTCCGTCCGCTTCGAGTTTATACACTATTTTCGCTTGGATTATTATTTGTTTGAAAAACTTTATAATGATCACCAATTGGTTTATTTCTTAAAAAAACTATTTTCAAACCCTGAAAATTAAATATGTTTTCAAATTCTTCTTGTTCTATAACAGTATGAATAATTTGCTGATTGATTTAGAATGATTCTAAGTAACTGATTCATCCCACTAATTTTATAGAACCGAAAACAAAATCGACCAGCATTTTGAATAAATTATTTGTTGAGTTTAGCACGTCTCATGTCGTCTTTGTGTTGCTTCAGCTTTTCAGCGGCCACACATATAGTTTATCTATCCCACAAAAGGACATAATCTCAAGTTATGTACGGATGGGGACTGAAGAATCTTTTTTTCCGATTTTTAAAATTTTTTGGTTTTTTTTTTATATTTTTGAGAAATATAAAATTAATTAAATTATAATGTCAAAAATTTTTATCCGTTGACTTTGTTTAATTTGTCATCAGAAAAGCACAGTATCGTAAGACAATTATAATATTCTTCTTTTTCTAGATGGATTGGCGACAAATTTTACTGTCAATCTCTGGAACTTTACATTCGATCCTGAACTCTTCGACCGTAACAGTCCGGCCTTCATCAGTAAAACTTTTGATTTCTGCGAGAATGTAAGTCGGTATTTTAATTTTGTCTATTCAATGACATATTTATTCATTTATTAGTTTGTTCTATTCAGTTAGCGCCCCTGTAGTCACCAACCCCTTCCATCTCACAATTGGGGTTCATGGGGAGATTCCTAAACAAAGTAGATCAACGGCTTGCAGGTTCTTTTTGCATCCGGGATGTTGAGGATACTCAGGCCCACTTCTTACAGGGGGATTTGTTTTTGAAGTGACCTTCTAATATTTTCTTTTTCTCAACACTTTATTATTAGATAACAATCTCCTGCTTGAGTCTGATCCCTTGAATTTTGACTTTTGAAAAACGGACCTCTATAAGAACTAGCCCTTCATAAACAGATAACAAGCAAATTTCACATCTGATTGGTTTTTTCATTCATGTGTTCGATGCATTATTATAATTATTGGTACTTTCATCTCATGGACACTGCATCTGCATCAACTATCAATGGTTCCATGCTTGAAAGAAATTGTTATCAAATAATCCTTTACGGTTTGAACATAATCCGTGATCTGGAATGGAAAATGAGAATTTAGCACTTTGGGTATGGAGACAGACCAATGACGATACGTTTAAATGGTAAACATGAACCCAACAGCATGCTAAGAGATGCCTAGTAGTGGGCTCCATAAGTAGTGACTGGGAGCGTTTTCTTTTAACCAAGATGACCGGATGTATTTTCTTTTATTTCTTTTAAACCGGAAACAGTTCAATAAGACGGTTGAGAACTTAGAGAGGGGAATTAACAAGAGATAATTGATAACTGACGTCCATTAAACATGTCACGTGAAACTAGAACAGTCTACAAAGTGAGCGAAATAAAGGGTTCAATTCGACATTCCAAGCACCTGAAGAAGACCGGAGCATACAACGGCCTAACGTTGTAATAAATATGGTGACAAAGTTGAGGACAATAATACTCCGAATAATGTAAATAGTGCACATAATACCTCATCTCAGAAATATAGACATTACTGATCTTAATGAAATTGTAATAAATATGGCGACAAAAGATGAAGACAATAGTCTGAATAATGCAAATTAATACATAATGCCTCATCTCAGAAATATAACAGATACTGAAGGGCCATAACGTTCTAATAAATATGGCGACAAATCCACAGGACAATGTTCCGAATAATGTAAATAATGTGTATTATAATATCTCATCTCAGAAGTATTAGAAATCGATTTCTGAACGAACGAAACGTTGTGATAAATATGGCGACAAAGATTCTGATAATATCAAAGAATAATGTAAATGGTGTACATAATACCTCATTTCAGAAATATAGACAGATACGGGAAACAGTTTATTTGGACAAAGACTATAACGAATAAAAATTTTAATCTTTAAATGATCCTCACCGACTCCCTGAAACACCCCCGTGGAGCCCCTAGGGATACATCGACCCCAAGTTAAGATGCTCTGATCTACAAAGTATTTGATTGAAGTGCAAATGTTATAACTCTGTTTAATTAATTTTTCCCCTTTTATTTTAAAACTCTTTTATTGTTTTTTTTTTTTTTTTTTTCAGATAAGGAATCTTGTCGATCCAGATTTGAAATAAAAAATGGGTCGCTTTTCTGGATGTGACATTTCCTAAACCGAGTAAGAATGTAGATAAACATTTTCTAAAGCGTCGATATTATTTTTAAGGTATTTGTTTAATAAGCCCGACTTTCATTGTGCGTTTTAAAGTTTGGTGATGTCAACGGATTCTCGTTTTGACTTTCGTAATGCTTGGTTGTAGTAGAGACTTTGTAATCGCAGATACAACTATAGTAACGCCGTTGAACAATACTGGTGTAAGACGCCAACGAATAGCACTCGCACTAATAGTACTTGCTCGATAATACTCGCTCGAATAGTAACCGCCGAATAGTTATCCAG